ACGAGGGACTTTGCTCTTGTAGACTTGCAGGAAAGACTCATCATCCATTGAAGGTCCTTCGCAGATGCAGTCCAGCTGGCATTCACAGTCCAAGTCGTCGTGGCTGAGTTGCCAATGCCTCTTTAGATTCAGTAGTCCTAATCCCGGGCAATGTCTTTGGATCCATTATTTTTGGACATCGGATGAACGCCATGACAAATTCAGCTGGCATATTGACTATCTTTGAAGCGCTCAATCTGCCTTCATTTCGCCAATGGGCACATCACACGGTTCCCTTTATGTTCACACTAATAGGTGGCATTTATTTGCTTGTGCATGTCCAGATTCACTGACCTTTTTAAATCAATTAATGACTAGACATCGGGGAAAAAAGCTTGTCAACTCTTGTGGTGTAGTGTGTGTGGTGTGGCGTCGGATTAGGGCGCAGACATGTTGGACCACCTGGCCGCAGCCAGTCCTGTGTCTCTCTGCGATCCAATGGCATGCGGGAAAGGAAGGCAGCCAACCAGAGAAGGACATGGATGAGATGCAGTATATAATGAGCGGCGTGGCCAGCGTGGTGGACTCGGATGGACGACGCCTGATTGGCTTGTGATTGGTCAATAAAGCCTGTTTTGTTGAACCAGTCTTATTCATAATTGGGCTCGGCTACTCTACAGTAGCGACATATAGTGGCGCAGACATGTTGGACCACGCTGGCCTCAGCCAATTCTCTGTCACTCTGCGTCCCAATGGCATGCGAGAAAGATAGGCAATCAACCGGAGACAAGCACGTCTGAAAAGTGGTATATACTGAGCAGCGTAGGCATCGTGGTGGACTCGGCTGCACGGCGCCTGACATGTGGTCTGGCTTGTGATTGGTCAATAAGGCCTTGTCTGTTGTACCTGTCTTTTTTCATAATAGGGCTCGAGTATTCTACAACTGGACAAGCGGCGCTTTGCAGACGGTTCTGGCGAGGGATTGTTTGGTAAAGCCTACTCTGTTTTCTATATATTTGGGGTTAGAAATCCGACACCGATGGCAACATATGAGTTTTGACTGCACTAATCGAAACACAGGCCTTTCCTTTTGACTAAAAATAGGGACAAAGATTGTTACCGCAGTCCAGCCGTTGTGACATCGACATTGCAAGAGATTAGGACCACTGAACTTTAAGAGACATGAGTAAGTTAATGAAGACGAAGGAAAAATTAGAAACGATTTTGACTAGAATTGGAAATGCAACCTTTGATGGATGAAGCAGCCCCCGTGCATTTCGCCTAGAGCAAAAGTCCCTAGAGTTGAATACCCGTACTCATTTAAGAAGACTAGAATAACAGAACAAGCTTTGTCAATCCATCAAAAAACCAGGATCGTCCATCAGACGCTGTCCATCCGAGTTCTCTCTGTGAAGTTTGCACAACTAAACTTGATAGTATGCTCTATTTGATTTTAGATTGAAAAAATCAAGGAAATATGAATGAGCCCACAGAATAACCCAAAAAAACTTAAATTAAATTTTGCTCAATTATCGCTGATAATACTGTTAGGTGTGCATTACTAAAAATAGCTACCTTGAACAAAATTTAGAGGCTCCTGTTTGTCATGGAAAATTAAACAAAAATTTAAATTATGTTCCAGTTTTATTTCGAAGTATTGCAAAATCTTCTTGTATAAAAAATTAACTTGTGTTAAAATATGGCGTTCAGGGTTGACAAGAACTCGTAGATTAGTCGAAAAATTATTTATTTTCCAAGTTGTCGCAATTGGACGATTGAAAATAAAGAGAATGCATTTGTCAAAGTTAGACATTTTGAACTGTAGAACAATGCACGTATTATTACACGCATACAAAAAAATAACAACTGATTAGTAAATTCAATAGGAAAGGCTGTCAATAAGCTTTAAATTTTATGCAAAATTAAATTGCACTGGTCTGTGGTCGTAAAACTCACCAGTTTTTTCTGTATATTCACATTTAGAAATAAAGGTTTCGTTTTATAAGTTTAATTAAACACTACTGTATGTACATGAGAAAATGCATCGTGCATTTACTTGTTTGATCTGGCCTACCATTGTTTGTTTTAACCCGCCGCTTTAGATTCTACTGCGTGATTAGGAGTGGTTGGACATGGTGCGTTTCGCAATTTTTGCTCTTAGTGTCTTTTTATGCGTACTTAGAGGGTTTTCTCTTACTTTTCTTATTTTTGTTATTTAGTCGCATAGGAAGTTTTCGGCACCCCGTCACGGCTCCTTGGGTTTTACGCCCAAGAAACGTAGCCGTCGTATCCGTGGAAAATGTAAAGCCTTCCCAAAAGATCGAAGGTCTGTTCCTCCTCACCTCACTGCCTTTATGGGTTTTAAGGCTGGCATGACTCATGTTGTTCGGGATGTGGATCGCCCTGGATCTAAGGTCCACAAGAAGGAGGTGGTTGAGCCTGTAACCATAATTGAGTGCCCTCCGATGGTCATTGTCGGAATCGTTGGCTACATTCAAACGGCTAAGGGCCTTCGAACATTCAAGACCGTCTGGGCGGAGCATCTAAGTGAGGAGTGTCGTCGTCGCTTCTACAAGGACTTCTGCAAATCCAAACGGAAGGCTTTCACCAAGGCTTCAAAGAAATGGGCCGACGAAGCTGGTCTTGCTGCCATTAACAGTGATCTGCGTAAAATGAAGAAGTACTGTACAAGAATCCGAGTTATCGCCCACACTCAGGTTTGTTAATTTTTGAATCATAATGTGTCACGGCAGATGAGGCTGATGAAGCACCGTCAAAAGAAAGCCCACTTGATGGAAATTCAAATTAATGGTGGCACCATCTCACAGAAGGTTGATTGGGCTCGCAATCATCTAGAGAAACAGGTCCCCGTTGCGAATGTGTTTGCCCAAGATGAGATGATTGACGTTATTGGCGTTACAAAGGGTAAAGGTTTCAAGGGTGTCACATCCCGTTGGCACACAAAGAAGTTGCCCCGTAAGACCCACAAGGGTCTCCGTAAAGTCGCCTGTATCGGTGCGTGGCATCCGGCCCGTGTTGGTCGCTCTGTTGCGCGTGCCGGTCAAAAGGGTTACTTCCACCGCACCGAAATGAATAAGAAGATCTACCGCATCGGCCTGGGTAGGTTTACCAAACCTCTCATCTTGACACGGTTCTTTAGGTGTTCAAGCTCAGATTGAGGCTGCTAAGATGGAGGCAGCAAAGGAAGACAACAAGGAATTAGCTGCTCTGATTAAGCCGAAGGGCAACGCCTCCACTGAGTACGATTTGACTGCCAAGAACATTACCCCGATAGGCGGTTTCCCTCATTACGGTGAAGTCAACAATGACTACGTCATGATCAAGGGCTGCTGCATGGGCCCACGCAAGCGCGTTATAACGCTTCGCAAGAGCTTGCTCCAACAAACCAGCCGCCGAGCGCAGGAGAAAGTTGTCCTCAAGTTCGTTGATACGTCCTCCAAGTTCGGTCACGGACGGTTCCAGACGCGCGCCGAAAAGAAGGCGTTCTTGGTATGCGTCAATTTTTCAAGTTCCCTAATGATCTCGATATTTTTAGGGTCCTCTCAAGAGCGATTTGCAACGCCCGAAGGCTGCGGCGTAGTTTTTTTAATAATATATATTTGCGGAGTTTTTGCGTGTGTTGCACTCAGAAGCAAGGGTCGGTTTTCGCTTACATATCACTGTCATTTACCTTCCTTTCTACTGGTACTCAACGCGCACTGTAGAGTATGGCTGTTGCGTGCAAATGCCAGTGATATTAGTGGGTGCTTCCGAAGCCACAGATTTATCGCTGTAGTTCAATGAGCACCGGAAACTCAACTTTGCTCAAGTGGGGTAGGAGAGTTAGCGTGAGTATTCGTGTTGCCTATATTTTTTCCCTTTGGACGTCTGTTGAAACGCGTATTTCCTCGATATATGTCACACCTGTTTTGCACGAACTGTTCGATCATGCTCTTACTCTGCTGATCGTAAATTTGCGTATCGCCTTTACCTGACGTGAGAACTTGCGGCGTGTGGATTTATCGTTAGGTACCGTTTTGTGTCGGAGTTGGAAGGATGTGGGGGAGTACATATTTAGGGCGTGCCAGTTTGATTTCGCATTTGTGGTCGGGTTGGGAGAGCCCTTTGGCTACTTGATGGTGGTGCTTTTGTTGTGGGTTCCGTCACCTCCCACTAAGTTACATGGTTTGCTAGGTGGATTCTTTTGATTTTCTAGTCGATAAGACATCCGGGTTACGCGCTACTGCTTATTCCTTCAGTGGCGTCTCGTGGTGTTTCAAGTGATGGTTTTCAAGCCGATGCGAGTGCCAGTATCTATTTGAACAAAGCTCTAACTTTGGGGGGTACAAGATAGGGGGGTGGGTTATTAGACAAGGTGGGTTGGTTTGTTTACTCGAAATTGTTTATCAAGCACGTGGGATCTATCTGAGCCTAGTAGTGTTGGGTCACTAATCCCAGCGGTTTTGCCCTACAAGATGGATGAGTGATCGTTCTGGGGGCATTACCATTACTCAGACGGTGCTTTTCGGTCCTGAGCAGCGTGGAAGCCTTCCGGTTACTTAGCGCCCAATTCTGAAGCAGGATATACCTGTTGTAAGTTGTCCTTGTTTGTACACTGCAAGCTGGTGTTGTCTGGCAAATCCGTTAGGGAATAGTTTTATCAAATTTTAATGAACCAATGAAATGGGGGTAAATCATCTGCTACTATGAAAGGGATATGGGTATTTGGGTTTGCCGTTGACAAGTACGCTAATTTGTGCACATGGAGAACGCATCCCTAGAGAGTCAAGCAAATCAGTTCCGTAATTGTTTGCAGTTTACGCTGGGTGTGTTTTTGAATTTACACAGGTGGCTTCTGTACACACAGGGTCAACCTGGTGATGTTGATTTCCACTTAGCGCAAACAGTGGTAGCTACTGCCTAACAGGGACAAAAGGGTAAGTTGTTGGCAGTCTTTTCTCGGATAATCCTCACAAGGTAACGCCATTTAACGAAGCATCCAAAGTACTTAGGGGGAGATTGTTAGGTTATGTGGGTTTGAATGTGGTCAAGAAGCGTCGACTTTATTATCTACACCGAAAAGCACATCTGCGACTTCACTATGTGTGTACATGTCTTGGATCACATCAGTTCTTGTCCCGGCTTAGTTAACAGCTCTCACGGGAGGGGGTTGCCATTTACGCGCTATTGACTCCCATCTCCCCATTATGGGTGCACCTATAGCGGCTTGGTTAGCACTACCTTCCAACTTTTTAGCAAACAGTCCCTATAACACTCGGAAAGAGACAAGACAGGCGACATCAGATACTACGATTTATCAACGTCACGTCAGCCAAGTGAGCACGTGACAAACGTCTGATAACAATAGCCAATGCAATAGGGAATTGCCATTGGCACACCCTCACGTCAGTAAATTGGCGTCGCCCAATCACGATCGCCGATAATTCGCTAGAGATATTTCCCCAGGTGAGAGTTATCTGTGAAACAGTAAACACTCGAAAATTGTCAAACCCAGTGAGCCAAGTGGGAAATGGTCTGATTTACTAGTCCTTGGAAGAGACAACGATGCCAGAGCTTTGGAACGAGGTGATTGCGTTGTTGTGTGCCAGGCGTAGAGCGGATCCATCAACCTTGTGATCCGCAACCCAAATTTGCATACGCCGAAGGAGACCGGAAAGTAGGTGTCGACGACGGGCCTCGTTCGTGTGGGACAAGCATCCTTCAGCCCTTCATCGGAATTCTCAGATGGCAATGTTCCCAACAAGTCGATAACCTCTGTAGCAACATCCCTCGGTAGTCATGTGACAACAAGCAAATACTTGGGCTTCAGTTTGCACAATCCGTACACGACCGTTTTTAAGCGTCACACCACAATTATCAGAAACAGATAATCGATAATTTCGTAGGTCGCGTAACTCCTGCGACTGGCTTCTTACAGAGGCTTCGATCAACCGCACCCATGATCTTGTCTGTTTTTGACAGAGTTAATGGCTTGATAGGTCGTGTTTTATTTAGATGGTAAAAGAGGGTAAGGCGGATTAAAATATTTTATTGCGTGCTGGTTCGCCAAGAACCACACTAACTGATCGAGAACAAACACACACACATAGAAAAGGTACACCGGTGATTGTTCGCGTTATACGGGCGAATACATGCCCAATTTGGTATCAAAAAATAGTTTGGCAAATCGATCTTCTGCATGTGTTATCCTAAAAGGAAAATACCGTCATTTTTAATATAAAAAGCCGAAAAATTGGGATAATTTGTAGCGCCGAATTATCAACTACACAGGCACCCCAACCTGCTCTTTGAATCACATACAGTTGCTACTTATAACTTGCAAGTAGCACGTGTGTGAAAAACTTACACGCGATCCTTCCAATTGATGGCTTCGTTGAGAAGCAGGAGAACCGGACACCAAAGGAGACCACAAGCCAGGGTGATGAAAAGGTGCCAATGCCGATCGATGGGAAACAATTTACCGCTTGATGCAAAGCAAGCAATGAGGTAAACCGAGTGCGATAGTAGGCTGAAAGAGGCAGGCAAAATTGCGTTTTACTCGATTATTCGGGGGTGGTAAATTGACACTGACAATAAGCGCACATTAGCACAGCAGAAATTAGCCACGGCATATTCGTATTCCGCCTCCACTGATTGATCCACTGACCAGCATTTGCGTAACTAAATGATATCAACACTAAAACGTGAAAAAAGGAAAACTAGTGCAACAGGCATCCATTTTGTGTTTAAAATGAACAACTGCGCAGGGCTGATCAACGCACCGATGTAGGTGACTAGCAGAAAGAAAGGCAACTCCTGCGAAATCGTGACGTCAAGAAAAACCTTCTCGTAATCCCAGACGATTGGAGTCGAGGACGAACTGTGTAGGGAAGAGAAGAAATGTCAGGAAGAAAAACGGAGACTGTGGGCAAACTCCACGACAATATGCAAACATTCAAAGAAGTTAGCAATGATTTGAGGTGGAAGGAACGCACTCGTTGTGGGCTTGACTTGGCGGCAAGCACACGAGGCGGTGGTCAATGTGTGTGGGGCAGACGGCGAACGTCTGGATGATGCTCAGCGCCCAGCACACGATCACCGAGGGAAGAAAACGCGCGAGGGTGACAGAGAACAGACGACGCATTCTCTGAAAGAACAAAAAAACGACGGCAGCCAATCAGCACACGAGGCAAACCAACCAATCAGCGTCCGACGGGAAGAACTTACGTCGCGACTGAATATTTCGTTCCTCTTGACAGGCGGTTCTCGCAGTTGTTTGCGGCGTTCCACGTTTCTTCCGAAAATGCTAACCGACAGGACTGGGATGACGATAACGATGAGCCACAGAGTGTGACCGCCCAGAGTGATACAGCCGACCACGTTGCCTGGGATTGGTCGAACAGCAGCCAATAGGATCGGTGGAAGCCAAACGGGGTCCACAGGTGATTGGTTTGGCGATGAGAAAAAGGTAACAGGAAACGCGGGCAAAAATGCCAATGAAAGAAAGTAAAACAAGGCAGAGGCAAAAGAGGATGCAAGAGCGAAGATTATGCAGAGGTGAATGTTGTTAACCGAAGCGTGAGCCTAAAACAGCGATTAACGAGTGCGCGGTTAGTGTCAAAAAATGGGCTGATCCAGCTTGGCATGCCATGGACTACCTGTGAGATCAGATCGAGAAGGTCAAAGTTCCTTCCATCGACGCGACCAACCAGCGGCGCACCCAGCGCTATTAACCTTCCGGCCAAGTCGAGAAGTGACGAATCTGCGGTGTCCGATGGACGCGGAAGACGGCGCTCCGTGTTGCACATCTGCGCACACCGCGAAGACGATTCGGACGAGTTCACCTCATGACCGCAGACTCGAGGCAGCAGTGGGAACAGGGCGATCGAGGTGTCCCCACGAAAGAACAGCTCGATGTTCGCGATCGACAGGCAACTGCCCACAACACACACCGTCTCTCCGTACTCCTGCAAAATGCTGATCATCTCGCCAACAGCTGTTAAAGGCAAAAGAGGCGAGGAACACTCAGCGTAGCCACGGTAAACCAATCAGTGTCAAGGAAATCTTTTTCTGCACTAATCGTTCAGCGTAAATCAAGTCGCGCAACGTCGAGGCTTACTTTGCGGTGTGCAGTCGGTAAAAAGCGACACCTTGAGCGGCACGTTGTCCACATTCTCCAGATGCGTCCGAATGTTCTTGATGCCACACGGAAGTCGCGACTTCGAACAGAAAATAGGAAAGGTGTGGTTTGAGAGGGAACACTACTTGTCTACCGCACCACTAGTTCCTTTGTACTTGCGGAAGTCAGCGTCCAACAAGTAAACTTTTGTGCTTTTGGAGATGGAAAAATGACGTAATACACTGAAATTGGTGTGAGTTTAAAAGAGTTGCACAAGGAGATCGGCTCACAGAAAACACGAATTTGAAATGACGCCCAGCTAGCGAACCAGCCCATTAAAACAAGGAATGACAGAAGAAATAACATGGTACACGTTACGCCACTAGACTAGACCTGACTTTGAAAAGAGCGTTCGATTTGTTTCAAAAATACGGCTTCCAAGGATTCAAGAGTGAGCAGAATGGGCAGAATTCAAGATGCTCGTACCGATTCAGGAACACAAACTGCATTCGGCGGTGACGAAAACCAACGATTGTAAGTTAAAAGGTAGGCTAGAAGCGGTGTACCTTATTGGCAAACACATAATTATACGCGTCCTCCTGGGCATCCTGATTCTCAAACACCTCCGAGTTGTCCTCATCGCCTGTTCCGCCATCGAATGACGTGGAGGTGGAGGACGCTGAGGATGAGGAGGAGGCCGAGGTCAACGATTTGCGCTTCTTCTTCCCGAGGGACGACAACGACGAGGCGCTGGATGCCGCGGGAATGTCGACTGGGTCTTGGGACTGCGCGTCGGCGTCCACGTCGAAGCCCACCCAGATTCCAGTGCTGGCATCGTCATCGCCGCCACCGCCGTCGCCGCCAAGAGCGGACGGTTGCGGCGGAGGGGGATAGTCGGGCACGCCCAGAGTCGAGGACGCGGCTGCGACTGCCGATGACTTCTACGCGAAGACAAATTAGGCCGAGGCAGATAAACGCATTTGGCATGAATATAGGGGCTAGCATGGATTGCCTCGGAATGGAAACACGGGCAATCCATCTTCTACGGTGACAAACAAAGTAAATACAGCATACTTAAATTTAAAAAAAAATACTTTTTATTAATCAACACATTGTACTCGCCATGACTTGCGATAACCGTATCCCGACGTTGTACACGGGAACTCTGTGGTTTCTCTTCAAAGAAATTCCATGTTACATCAACATGTTAGCCTTGATTTATCTTTTGTTTTACTATACTAGTTTCAGTGGAGCACAATCCAAATTTGCCTCCAGCGGACAACTTGAACAAACGGCTTAAAGTACCAGATCGTCTTCATTGTTCTTTGATTGCAGCAATACCACTTTTTGGTGTGTAAGCCGCTGCTATTTACAGTCAAATTATTTTGTAGTTAACGGAACCAATCAGGTCAGGGTGACACGCCGAGTGCCGTCGATGGATTTATCATTTAAAGTCTCGGATTTTTTGCAATGATTGTTGACCAGCATTGCGTCTGGCGTTGTCATGGTGAAGGATGATGCTTTTTCGATTGCAAGGAATTAAAGAAAGTGAGTTGGGTGAGGTGTCCATAGTACTACCCAGCAGCTACTGGTTGGCCACGCGGAAGAAACTCGTTTTAATGAAGAAGGTGCTTGCGATGCTCCTAGCAGACATGCAACACCACTCGCATTGGTGGAAATACGGTTGAATTTGTCCCGTTCTGTCTACAGAGTTACGAGGTGCTTCTAAATTTAGCTTCACATTGCAGAATGCATCTAATTTCTCCGAGATCTCTCCACGGGTTATCATTTACAAACCCGGGCTGAAATAATTAGCTGTGCTGGAAGTTGATTGGCTGGTGTAAAATCACCACTTTTAAACCCACAAAAGCATTCGTTAGGTGTCCCGAGACCAAGAACACGGTCGGAGTAAACGTGTTGAATACTTTTGTTCCAGTTCTAACCACCACACCGTCTTTTAAACATGGCTAAAGTGTAACCTTTCGCTTCCCACTTCAAATATTTGCTCGGGACACAAGTCACCTTCAAACAAAAGTGCTTAAAAAGACGCATTTTGACATCTGTCCGCTAATAACATGCCTACACCAATAAAACACCAGCACAGTTGCCCAATCACTCAATCGATACTTCAAGGCCACGGGACAAGCAACCTTACCTTGAGTGGTAGGCTAGGTTGTCTGAGGTTTGGTGAGCTCAGGGAATGCGTCTGCCTGAAAATCCCGACTCCACCTAGACGAAGAGAAACAGACAGACAAAAACAGACGTCTTAGAAACATGTGGAAATTGTGCAGATTCGCTGAAGCATGCATCACGTGAAAGCACAATCGTTCATCTTTGAACTGACAGGTCAAAAGACTGGTGTGGTGGAAGTAGGCGACGCCAATGATTGGATAACAAAGCCAGACAGAAACGCCTACCGTCTTCCAGACTCGTGTCTAGTCGACGCATCAGGTTGGCCGCTGGGGTGGAGTTCACGCGACTCGACTTCGCACGCGGCGCGGATAGCTTCTCGCCGAATGGGAGTGTGGTTGCGGACGAGGGAGAGCTGGCTAGCGAGATGTGACAGTTCCAGTCGGCCTCCAGGCCCAGACGCTCGGCAAACACCCTGCTGCGCAGTTGATTTTCCTAGCATCAAGTAGAAAAGCAAAGATACGGTTAGGAACAGGTTCGCTTTCCCCCCCGTGAACAGTGGACAGATCAGTTGGGGACCTAGTCTACCTTCGCAACATGATACAAGCCGTTGGAGGCTTCAGTCCACCTGGAATGGACCTTCTCGAGCAATTCAACGTGGACCAAAGGTCCTTCACAACTCAGATGCCTCAATCAAAGACAGTTCTTAGTTCTACCAACTGCAGGAAAATGACAGACTCGAGCAATGATCTTCCAGCGTCTCAACCACCTAGACAGGAGTCGTAAAAACGCTTCCTGTTGAAAAGAAAGGTTCCAGGGAAGTGTTGGCGATCAGCGCGTGAGACGTGTGCTAGGAGGTTCACTAAAGTTACGAACTCGACACGAACACGAACGATCAAAACAAGCGTTGTGAGGCAGATCGCGAAGAAGGGCAAGAAGCCTACTTGGGAGAAGTGGACGAATCGGATGCAAGCCTGATTGAGTTTGCGAATGGTCTCCACGATATCAGGAATGGCCTGGTACTGAAGGCTGATCATCCCGAGGAATATCTGCTTGCTGAAAATATCCTGCAGGACAGTCGCGTCCAAAGTGTTCGAACTAAGGCAAATAAAAAGGAAACAATCACGAGTCTGGATCTTGACGCCGAAGCGCCAATTTTTTGTTAAAAATGCCTCCAAATGAGGTTGGTGAGATACAAACGCAACCCCTCTTACGTAATTGAGGAGGCCTCAGGCTAACTGACTGATTATGAACACCCAGAAGTCTTCCCATAATGGCCTAGCACTCAGTCAAGAGAATGCCTACCGCGTCAGACTCGATCTAGTCGCCTTAGGTAGGCTATTCACCCCAAAGACAGGTGTAAAGTAGCTGCGATTACGGCCATCAGGTACTTGCGTAAACACATTCGACAACTGTGTAAACACTTGACGTGTTAAACGCCATAATGACCACGCGGTAGTGCCGTCTATCCCTTAATTAAACTTCCAGATGTGACAACTTAAGCGCTCCTCTCAAACGCAGACAAAGTAAACAAACACTTGAGCAGGCGCGTGCTTATGACATCAAAAAAAATTGAACTAGAACGTGTGAATAGCGAAACAGGTAGTGGAGGCAGAGGTGGTACCTAGTTGTCTGGCGAGAAAATTGAGGGAGAGAGTCACAGCTGAAAGCCAGCCGGCGCAGACACGTGCGAAGCCTTCGTCGCTTCTTGCCGCCAGCGCCTTTTCGAATACCGAGGCCGGAGGAGCTGGTGGCGGAGAGGAAAGAGGAGGAGGGTCGCGCGACGGTGAATCGTGTCAGGCGTCGTCTGAGGTGCTTCTGTACCGACTCCAGGGACTCAAACTGCGACTCCACGTGTGAGGTTGACGCTGACGACGGACGCGTGTTCAGCCGGCTTCGAAGCTCGAAATTCTAGATAGATGCATGACCTAATTTGTACAGGTTTATTCCTGCTAGACTAAAACCATATTTAAAGTTAAAAAGAAACATTTTCTTGGTCTTTTGTGGTTTCGAATGGATTAGACACAAGGCTTCGCAACACCGAACCACAAGTCCACATGAGTTACATGACCTCTCAGAATAGCAGAGCTTACGGTGGGAATTCATAAACACCACATTCGATGGCACTGCATTTTATACGAATCCTATCAAAGAACAAATACTGCTTCTGAAGCACGGGAACCGGTTTGAAGTGCTCTTGGTGCTGATGATGTCACACGAAACATGTAATTATTGAAACAGACGTTTTAGAGGTGGTGAAATCGGCCTTGAAAATTCGAGGATGCGGAATGGCAAGCTCTACTGGATGCAGACTCAACGCAAACGCCACAAGAGCTTGCAGCAGCTCAGTAGGATTCACCTAAACGGCCATTTCCAAGCGTTTGCATTACCGAATTGGACAAATTCAAAAAACTTGGAAGTTGGATCCCCCACATGTATTGGCCGGAACACAACTCCCTAGGTCAAAGTGTGGACACATGTCTTTCACTGCTTGCCCGTCGGCAACAAGCAGGGAATGGATTTCTTGTGGAAAATTGTGACGGGTGACGAAAAGTATGCAGATTTTACAAGGATCCCAAACGTAAAATGTAGAATTGTGGGTAGATTCCGGACAACCCAGTACATCGACGCCGAAACAGGGCATCCACTTGACGAAATTTCGTCTGTGTACTCGTGGGACAAGAGGGATGCACATTATTACGAACTCCTGGAAACTGGTCGTCAGACGGCGGCTGTGGAATGCTACGGACGACAACTGAACGCACTGTGAGAAGAGTTTGATCAGAAAAGCCATTTACTGGACAAGGAGGCAGGCAAGTCATGATGATGCTGCTGCTGCATGACAACGCACGGCCACCTCACGTCGCTCGCACGACTCAGAAGATCCTCTTAAACATGGGACAGGAAGTTCTCTCAAACGGGGCATTTTCACCAGACTTGGCCCCATCCGGCTGCTATTATTTCCGGTCAATGCAGCAGCACGTCTTAGTGGATAAACAGCCCAAACCACTGGACAATGCGCGTGAACTCGTCCATGGTGATTTTATTGCCTCGAAGCCTACAAGTTTCCTTCGTATTTTACCCGAGAGATGGCGCAAGGTCCAAGAATACGATGGTTATCTGCTTAATGTTATCTGTTTTTTTTACATTGAACAAATTTGCTGAAAAATCTGTGCGCGAGATTAGGCAAATACATTGCAAACCCACCACCGGTAGCTTTAGGACGGGGAAGAACTTGAGGTTGGCGGATTTCGCGTCTGGTCGCCTGTCCTGCACAAGCGGAATGGACTGAACTAGTGGCATGTAGGCGAAAGCCAGACAGTAGCTTGTAGAGACGTGTTGATTGTAGAAATCGAGCATTTTACTGCGCTCCGCATCGACAAGCGGCAAGACCTCACGGCCATTCCACAAACTCGTGCAGAGGGCGGTGACGAGGTCGCCTGAGCCCTGGGTCATCACCTGGTACCCGCTGCCCGTGGATTCTCGACTGATGACGGAGAAACAGTTGGGCACAGGCATTGGCTCCTTTGACGTGTCCTACAGTTTTAGCGTCAATTAATACGACAAAACAACAGTTGGTACCTTGGGCACAGTAGCGTAGGCTTCTTGAATGCGAAGAGCCCTGCGTCGAAAGTCGGACAAGCATTCCTCGCCGTTAAACGTACCTGCAGTGGGACGAATCAAACGGCTGTCGCTCTTCTCGATAGCCTTATAAATACCCAAACTAGCGCTGAAAGAAAATCGCTTCAATGCGGAGTCCTGGAAGCCCATCTGATAGGCGAGGCCACAAAGGCACCGGTTATTCACGACCGCAACAGCCTCGCCTCCGATGTGGCATCCAGCTCTTGCAAAACGCTGTCGAGTAGCGGATGTTAACCATGTGAGATGATCTGCAAAAGCTGCATAGTGCTCACGAGTTTTGGGCTGGCAGTTGTTTAGGAGAAGGCCCAAACCGATTGGTTTGAGGGATTCGATAAATCGATACCATCTGGGGGACTCGAAACGAGGCATGTAGACGGAGTCCGATGGAGCGGTAACGTTTAGGATTTCCGGGGCAGAAAATTCGTTTTGAAGGAAACTACGTCGGCCACGCGGTCTTCCACTGCCATCTTCGAAAGACGACTGAAAAAGAGACTCAGTTAAATTCGGCGATTGGCATCGCTAGGTGCATGACACAGGCAAGTTACGCACCAAAGAGAACACGTTTCTGGGCTCCTCTTGGCTTCTGACAGTGCTAATGGACGATGATGGATGTTGGCGATCGGTAAATTGCGGATTTACATTGGAGTCGAATGAGCGAATGCACAGGGTCTTACGACGGCGATTTTGACGGTCACGGAAAAAGAAAACTTTCTCCGGTGTAGGAATGGGGAAACTTATGAGACCCTTCTTGTCTACAAAACACACACTACTGATTCTACCGAGATGCAGCAAGAGCTGTTCCATGCGTGTATCCGGGTGGATAAGAATCTGAAGGAAATTAGACTTATCACACATACCTCATTAACAAATGCGGTCAACAGTGAAACCATACTGTCTTGAGGACATTGACAACCTTTGCCGAAAATGGCGGAAATTTGAGCACGTTTGTTCTGGTGCAAAACGCTCATCCCAAGAGTCAGAATCCAAATAAGAGGTAGAAAGGCACAGCCTGTTGTCATTATCAGAAAAACGGCCATGGCTGCAACCCATTCAACCGCAACTGATAAAAATGCTGGCCGATTGTTAGCACAGACTCTTGCAATGGCAGTTGCGGTACCGAATAATAAAAATCCCACGGCTAATATGTGTGACAAAATCACGGCACGCTTAAAGAAGTTGAATGACGAAGTAGTTTGAATTATGGCTTTCTGCTTCGGAATTTTTTGCTTTAATATATTTTTAAGGTGTTCAACGGTCGGTGTGGCAGAAACTGTAGCCAAGGTTGTGTGATTCATCAGATGAACGGAGGGGTAAGGATTTTGATTTGTAATATTTTTAGACAGGCGTGGCAGGAATGTCTCACCAACGCCATACTTGATCAAATCCTCGTCCTAAAAGTGCAATGAAAGAAAAGGAAACTTACATTGGCCTCAGTCATTAGGGTACAGTCGCAAACAACCGTCTGTCCTGGACGCAAATTGATGACATCACCTTCCACGAGCAAGCTAACAGGAACATTTGAAAGCTTGCCGTCTCGGTACGTAAGCTGCAGGTTGTAACTCAATGAGTGCGGCAAGTGCAATGGTGCATAGGTCTTTGGTATACTTCGGTTTCTCACAACTACACATTCATTATATAGAAAAACTTGACGCACCATTAACATCTTCAGCCATTCTAGCAATACCGGTAAGGACACTACTTGAGTATCCTTCTAAACGTTTTATACTCGCGACAACAGATAACGTGCTCGCGAGCAGCATAAGAATCAAAGTAAGACCATTCCAGATAAGGCTAAGCACATTCTAACTCATACTACAAAACTCTGCTTACGAAAAGTGAGGTGGAGCCCTGCAACTTGTAACAATCACAACAGCAGTAAAAAGCAACATCGATAATAGATACCCAGGCGCGTTTGGAATAGGGATATATTTATTATAATCCCTCCAATGTAATTTCGAGTGAACTTCATTATGAAGACAAAGGTTGTTGAGCTGCTGATATAATTTACGCAGTGCTCTATCAGTTGAAAGGCCAAAAGTCATTCCATGAACCTCAAAAATCAAAAATAGCTTTATCTAAATGATCCATTGGCTTAGACTTGTGACTTGAAAAAATAGGTCAGCATTTCAAGAAGGCTAGTTCAGGCTAGAGAGAGGCCTCCAATTCTCCCAATCATAGGCAGGTTTTTGTTCCTTCAATTAGACGACAAAAGGCAAAAAATTCGTAGTTTTTAAAAGGGTTAAAAAATCATTTATTACAAAAAAATCGATTGCTTAGAAATAATTTGATGCATTTTACAAAATGAGAAGCAAATGGAAAATAATCGTGTCTTTGAAGTGATTCCAAGAATAATCTCAGGTTGCATTAGATAAAATTGACAGACTCTTCATGAGGCAAAATAAATTCAAAGTAAAAAAAATTAATTTTATTATTTCGCTTCCAAATATGGAAGAAAATCTAGATGAAACTTTTACTTCAGCAGGTTTTTTTTATAATCAAGTTTACAGATTTCTTTGTGATTTTCCTATTATTAGATCTAAAGGTGTGTTTAGAAAATAACTCATAAACTCTATTAGTTAAGGGGCATGCCCAAAAAATATTTCCGATTTTCATTTTTTTCATATTTAGTGTAACAGGGAAAACTTGGCTGGTAACTGATAAAACTTTGCAAAATTATTCTTTTAGTATTAGTAAATACTTGCTTTGTACATAAAAATTCAAAGATATGCTTTCTTTACCTCAAAATTTTTTTTCACGGCCGTGGCTTCATACTGAATCCCGTGTGAACGGGAATTATATCGATTATTTTAATTCACTTCGCGCAGCGATGCTTTTCAAATACGTAATAGTATATAACAAAGCAGGCTTTCTTTATTTTCATTGTTTGCAACTTTTACAGATATACTGCTTTCTTAGGCAAAGAATGGCATTTATTTTCTTGTCGATACTTTGAAACGTAAAAAGTGTCAAGCAGTAATCTCCAAACGTTGTTAGTGAATTGATGTTTATATCAACAGTCGCAATTTGCAATAAAGCGAATCTTCCACATTGTATATTTAATCAGTGTAATAAAGATTTTTATGCAAATTAATATGTGAAACATCTGCACAACGAAAATTACTGCGCGAAATGCGTATTAAATTCGTGATATTAAACACAGAACAGCTCAAATATAGTATAGCTATAAGTGGTATCAATATATCGGTAATTTTAATCAAAGTCTGAATTTTTATAATTACCTGACCGTATTGATTTTGCTAATTTAAAAGTTAGTCCAATTCAGTTTGAAGTAATTGCCGTGTAAAATCTTATACACGCCCATTAATTCGGTAGCCACATCCTCGGTACTTTTCTTTTTTTAACAACGTTCTTGTCAGCTATACGAAATAGCACACACACACACACACACAACAAATCGTAATTGATTAACAACCACACACAACATGCACACACTTGGACATGCTACAAAACTTTGCTGAGCTCTCAATTTAACAATCGCATCTTCGACTTTACTCGTCCTTATCTCCATATTCAAAGGAAAAACACCGGTGCGATAAAAAAAGACCACATGCCATGGTTTATTCACAAGCTTCAAATAAATGCAAAAATTACGCTTTTAGGTAATGAGAAGATTTTAATTATCAAAAGGTAACACCTTAGTAGCCAAGATAAACGAAGAACCCCACGAACCACCATTATGTATTTTGCCACATCGATTCCGAGTACCCTGAAATTGGATATTCTTGTGGAAAATGTGATGCTAGAATGGATTCGATTTGCAAGGGAAAACATTTCTGAAACAGTTCCTTAACTAGTAAATGCAACCAATTGCAATTTTTGTAGGCACAGACATTGCCTTGTTCCAGAGAAGCACCGTGTTGAATACTGCATCAATCGGATAAAATGGACTCATATCAATACAATTGACTGTACAAATTATGTCCATTGGTCACGGCAGTTATTACAACAACACAGCTTAATAATAAAAGTGGATTAATCTTCATTTCAAATAATTAATGGTCTGAAAATTGCCCTGAGGCAAAGCGGACTTTAATAATCAAAAAATAAAGGGGAAGCATACATTTATTTTTAGGCATCAATTTATTGCCCTGGTTGATTTTAATGAGCAAAATTATAGTTTCAGCAACCGCTGAAAAAAAATGTGGCATATCAATTTCTAATGTTCCTGAATGCATTGAAAATTTAATATTATATTTACTATTTTTTACATTAAATCACAGTCAAATTTAATTTATATTCCTAAAACCTTAAATACTAATTCCGATGCACAAATGATTGTCTTGAACACTAATGATAATCATTCAAATTTTTATGCCATTTAGAACAAAATGATATAATCTGTAAACTAAAGCTAGACGTTTTTATCATCGAAGTGGTGAAATGCAATCTGTGTATTACCTCACTAAGTAATATCAGACAAGTATTAACTAACTGACCCAAATGAACCCACATTTGACCCTTAATTAGTAAAGTTTGCACGAATTCGCAAAGAACGGCAAATGATTTTAAACCATAAATAAATGAGTATCCCAGTGTGGCTATTTTCTTTTTATGAAGTTTTAGGTTTTTTCGAAAATTTTTTTAAATGCATTCAACAGGTATCCGAATCCTCATGAAAACGTGAAGCTGTTCAATATAAAATAAAATTAAAACTCAAGTTAATTTAATGCAAAACAATATTCTAATATTTAAAACTGTTCCGTCTTTGTTTTTTAAATGCTTTATGAGCAAAATAAGCTGTGAACTTATAAATATTAATGCTGTTATCTGATCATTAATGTTTTGTTTGAGTGCGCGTGTTTGCTGTCTGCGTCTTCGATTTGCTGTCGCGGTGTCCTTGATACTTTTGTCCCCTAAAAATGGGATCAACCACCAGAGTTATTCGGATGGAGGAAGTTAAGCAGCATAATAAGGACAAGGATTGTTGGATTGTCATTCATGACAATGTGTATGATGTTTCACAATTTCTGGAAGAAGTAAGTGCCCAATTGTCCTTGAATTTTCGTAGTGGAACTTGATATAGAAGATACTATTATAGTGATAAGATTTACTGGCAAGTGTTTTTTTTCGCTATACGTGTGTAATGTGAGCATGAAGTTTAAAAATTGAATTCTGGGCTATTGTTTATTATTGCCAAGACCTATGATTTTCACACATCGTCAGATTTCAGAACGTGTTGTGGCTTCATCAGTTAAAAAATATGCAAATCTGTGATAATGGCAACTATTTTGATCTATTTGTGCTGTTGTCTTCTGTACCCTGTTTTTTACATATTTCTCGTTTGGATGAATCACTTAGTGTCTTAATAACAGTAGTGCTGTAACGAAGACAGCACTAGTGATCGTATTAGCGAAATCGCATATCTATTTTCTCATTCCGTAAAATAATGTGAAGAATTGGTTCGTTCTTTGTTTTGCACTGACATTCACATGCAATTTTTTTTAGCATCCTGGAGGTGATTTCACTATCTTAGAGCATGCAGGTGCCTTCGCCACAGAAGCTTTTGAAGATGTTGGCCACTCGGAATCAGCCCGGGATCTAATGAAAAAATATCATGTTGGAGTTCTTGCCGAGGTATTTCAACTTTTTTATTACTCTTTAATTAATAGGAAGACAAGGAATCAACATTAAAATTTTCCTCAAATTATTCTCGGGAAAAGATGGCTAGCTTTACGTAAGTTCCTCTTCTTGATGTCCAAATATATCTTATTTAAATATCAAATTAAAGGCACCCTAGCCATAGTAACGTGTTCTTTGTGCTGTTTTACGTAAAAAACGCTCAGTTTCCTCCGAAACATTGATTTCTGGTATTTTTTTCGTTTCATTTCCACTCCAGTCTCTAAACAAATTTGCAGCCGCTAGATAAGTCAGACTTTTTTCCTCTGAGTAGGTATCCATGAATCGTATTTTATCCATTTAGCTACAATTGGATCAATTTCGCGATACCCATATCTGTGTTATTAACCGGTGCCTACTTGGCACGGCGTTTTCTCCGGCGCCGTTGAGCATTTTCGTGCGTTTGCTGTTAAATCGATCTGCTATGATGTACCTGTGATTGACGCAATATAGTTCCGTCATCGTAACTGTTGTTTTGGACGCTACGTTGTTTATGTACATTCGTTTGTATTTACTCGCTCAGTTGGCAAGGTTTGCTTGTTTGGTTGTCGTCGCTAGTTCTTTCTCTGTATATATATTTTGCATTAGCTATGAGGCCTGTCTTTATTTACTTCTAAGGACTCCTCGTACACTAGTGCTCGTTCAATGCGTTGCGTTAAATTGTTCAGATTTGTTGGCATTGGTAAACGCGTAAATACAATCATTGGTCACCGTGTGGAGGACGTAGTCCTGCCCCGGGATCACTTGTCGATCACTTGGTGTATGTAACGAAATCTGGCTCACCTATAATCTAACAAATTTGGCACCGTGAAAATGTGTGCTTTTCCATGTCACTCTAATGTCTCCAATTGAGGCCTGAACTCTGAAGTATCAGCAAAGCCGCCTCGCGCATCATCGGTGGCATCCAGACAAACGGTGGTTTCTACGCTTCACGGATCGTTTTCTAATTGTTGTGTGTGCGTGTGTGTAGCCGGCAATCTTGAACTCACTTCTTTACTACTGGGCTAGTGCATCAACGCGCCTGCACTCAGTCAAGGGCTTTGTAAAAAAATAACAGGATAGTTGGGTGGGATTCGGCTGCGTTTGCATCGTCTCAGCCCACCGCTAAAGATGCTTCCAACAGACGGAGATTAGTGTACCAATTTCCGCCTGAAACCGTGGTAGATCAATCCTTTTGTCGTTTTTTAGAGGCTGGACCGGCGCTCTAATCCCGATCGGTATTGCGTTAGCAGCAGCGGTTGCCTATTTCTTTATTAAGTAGTAATGAATTTATGGGTCCTCCAGTCACCGGTACATTTTAGGACGTCTTTTGCCGTTTTTCACAAGGACAACTCCGACCCTAGTTCTCTGTGTTATTTTTCTTTGCTTTTTTTGTATGAAGAATAAAGTGATATCATCATAAAAAGTCGTTATTCTTTGTCTGGCATTTGTGTAATTTTAACTCAGGTCTGATCTGCAAAGAAATGTATAATTAATTTCGGTATTCTCCTCAAATGCTTTTGTGTTTTGTATGAAATGATTCTGCACGTGCTTGGAGTCTCAGAACTCGGGCAAAAGTCAATGAATGAGCTTTACTGGTGTGGCCGTTTGACCTCACCATTTACATCAAACTGTGATTAACTAGGATAACACCTACACAGTGTATGTTGAATTCATCTCAAGTATGCACGGGATTGAATGTTGTCAGCTACTAGGGTGTTTGTGCAAATTCAATTTTAACTCTTGTTAACCACTTCTTTGCGAACCGCTTGCTTGCTGCAAACTCGGGCTCTCAAAATCGCCTACATCGCGCTAAGATGTGAACAAAAAGCCATTATCAACTTGTTAGATGTGTGAATTCAACCTCCTTAGTGAAAACGTTGAGTTGAACGCGATTTTTTAATGCTAATTCACACAGATTTTGCAGTGGAATCGACACAATCGTCATACGATGACCAAAAACCAATGAGCCTTCATGTGCGGAGGGGGGGGGGGGCTTGTGAATATTTTGGTCGCATTTAGGCTGGAAACAGTTAGTAAGAGGAATACTTTGCTGAGGCCGCGTAAGTACACATCATCTACCGGTGTACTAGGTGATCGCATGTCAGTAGCCTCGGGCTTCAATAACCGACTTCCTCCGTTTCAGTCATGCGTTTCTCTCTGCCCGTGTGGCGTCGTATACGACACGATTTCCTCCCCGTCTACATCAAGAAGCAGTGGAGGGAACACGGTTCCCTGATGGTGGCGAAGCGGGTTCGTGTGCCGAGACGCATCATCGATGATCCGAAGATAGCCGAGGTGGCAGCCCAGGCTGAGGACACCTTCGCTTCCACACGCTACCGTGATGATCTGACGCGCGAGATCGAAATCGGCGCGACGCCCGAGGAGCGGGCGGCTTGGGAGCGTCAGCGGGCGGAGCGTCTGGCCGCCTTCTGTGGCGACGCCCTCGACCCGCCCGAGTTGCCACCAAGTCTTATCTTTGAACCCACGAGACTCTTTTGCAGGGACATTGCGCAAGTTGGCATGCTGACGAATGTAAGCACGTGCTCCGCGTTGATTCCTCTAACTCCTATGTGTACTTGGTTGGGTTGCGTGCGTGGATTCTCTTCCCTGAAATGCCTCTCCTCTCTCTCTTTAGACCGTTGTCCGCCACGGCCCCCCTCCGGCTGTCCAGTCCCTCTACGAGGAGGTCGCTGAGGCGTGCGAATCCGCCCCCGACAACACCTCACTCGTCTCCTCTCTTGAGCGCTCCATTCTACACGCCCACCTCTGGCACACTGACGAGGACAAACTACCCAAACGCTACAACCCCGATCTGATCATCTGGAAGTTCAAAACCGAGTACGGCATCCACCCGACCAATGTCGCTCGCTACCTCTTGCAGAACCTATTTCGTATCTGCGAACTCCAGGTAAGATTGCCTCCTCCCAAAGGCCAACCTCACATTATTCCAGCCAAATCTATAATCATGCATGTAGCCACCTCCAAGCCGATGAGGTTCCATTGGCTGGTTTAGTAGCCAATCAAATTGCTTTGTCCCAGATTTGTCGACTCATCACATGGGTATTGAATACGCTCCACTTCGTTTCTACTGGCATTTCAGTCGTCCAGAATGCACCTAACTCCAGCCAGTGATGCGCAGACGGGCATGCCCGCGCGTTGGTTGCTGCGTGATCGCCTTGTGGAGACGTCCTTTTTGTGGGGAGACGAACGCCGGCGAGTGCAATTCAGCCAGCGAAACGACCTCGTCCTCTTGTCACCGCGTCCCACGCCTCTCTTCGAGCAGGCGACGCGCGCCATCACCAACGAGGACGTGCAGACTATGGAGGAGTACAAGGGGCACATGCACCTCCTATCGCCGCTCATCGACCTAACGTCCACGCGCTGCTACAGGCAGGACAGTAGTGACGGTATTCTGGTGAGTGCTGCACCACTTTACCGGCTAAATCAACACGCAGGGCTTATGTACCTGTTATTTGCTCGCTGTAGACGAGTACTTATCCGCACCCTCAACTCATCACCGTGAACGTCGCCCTTCCCAACACCTGGTCCGACTTCACGGCTCCGGAGAAAGATCGGATCACGGTGTCTCAGCGACAGGCTATTGGACTGATGCACTGCTACGCCTCTTGCATCGCTACCGCCAAGCGTCTCTTCGGAGACGACTGCCACAACACCGAACTCCCCGAGCCAATATCTGTCGAGGCGGTTTGCACGGATGGTGTCTTTTTTGACTTCATCGCCTTCCAACTGAACACGCTGGAGGCTCCTAATTGGGCCACAGGCAGCCCAACAACGACCGTGAACGTTGCTTGGCTAGATGGCAACCATGAACTAGTTCGGAAGCGTTACCCCAAGCGCAGCATGCTGCGGAACACCAAGTACACTGACCTCGATATGCACGTATTCTACAGGCTATTCGCACGATACCTCTATGGAATACACAAGACTGTAGCGAAGGAAATGGGTACAAGCAAGTAGAAAGGCTTTGTAAATAAAGTAATCATATCTACATCTGCGTCGTCTGTTCAGCGCTTGGTTTTGTTCGTCGGGGTTTGTTGCGGGAGGCGGCTTTTCTATAATAATACAAAAAAATCGTGAGGAGCTTATTTCAGCAGCCTAATATGGTTGTGTGAATTAAATAGTATTAGAAGAGGGAGTCATATGGCCTCGATTAAAAACAGACGGGGTAGGAGCGAAAGCACCAGACTACTCGTAGCACTAAACACCTTATCCACTATCACCAACAGAAGCTCCTCTCTCTAGGTAATACTGGATCAACCGCCTCAAAAATTCGACTTTAAAAAACGATCAAGAAATCTACGACGTTGCGGCAATCAACGCCACTATAGAGACGACTGCAACTGTGTTTGTGGTGTAACAGAAAACATCACTCACATGTCCTTGTATACGTAGATTAGCGATGCGATGAATACAAGTAAGCCGAAAATGCAGAGATATCTAATTTTGGCGTCTTCAGTTGAGACGTAGGAATAACTCATGAAAGACGGCAGGGGTTTCACATGGTGCCCGCGTTCGAGTTCGTATTCACCCTGTCCTTTCATCCATTCCACCAATCTTTCATTCCACCGCCTCCGCATTTCTTCCTCGTAGGCAGCGATGAGAACAGGGTCAGAGGAATTCGGTTTGGTATACTCCATTTTGTACCCGGATTCAATTACACTAAATGAGTTGAGTTTGCGCTGAAAATCGTATTCTTTTCGACTCGCTTCATTTCCCAGAACTGATATTGCCTCATTTATTTCAACGAACTTCGACCGGATTTCGGGGGTGTCGCCAGCGATATCAGGGTGGTACTAAAATGCAAACTTAATGGGAAATTAGGGGCGCACTTTTTTAGAGAGCGCTCTGTATGCCTCCTTAATTTCCTTGGTCGTAGCGCTCTGCCGAACACCAAGAGTCTTGTAGTAATTCTTAAGTGGTGTGGCTTCAGATCCGAAACTTTTCAGCGAAAATTATAGACAAAAAATAGAAGAATACCTTCTGATTCTGGTTGTAATTAGATGAGTCTGGAACCTCTTCCACAAGGAGCAACAATGCCTAACATTAGGATTCATAATTCTTCTACATGTAAGGGTGCTAAGCAACTCTTTGCACGTAAGGGCAAAGGACCCAACTCTAAAGAAATTAAAACCGGGTGGCCAGACTTTCTAATTTGCCGCCATCCAGAAAAGCAGTAGCACCATCATCGAAATCGGCTTAAAAATGGGGGGGGGAGAAGGAAGCAAAATTAATATTGATTTACATTTAAAGAGACACATTAATAGTATTCACGCTACATGCAACTTCATCGCGTTTCCCAAGCATGAAAATAATGGGGTAAAATAAAACATTTTACCAACTTAGTTTTAATCCCAAATATACGCACGTACCAATGTTAAATACCTCATTTTATCATCTACAAAACACACTCCAAAAAGGTTTTCTGTATCATGCATATCATTTAATAAGCTTCAGACAGTTGTTTCGATTTTAGTTGGATTGTCTTATCAGCCAAATTATCTCTCTTATTTGCAAATAAAATATTGCCTTGCTTTTTACTAAGTTTCCTTTATTAGCACCACTATGCATAAACTGTCATATATAGCTTGTGAGGCTTATTATTAAGAGTAGTAGTGGTGATCGTGTAAGGGTATAAATGACTTATTGGCTTGGTGAATCGAATGTTCAGCTTTGAAAGTGCATACACTCGGATTTATGAATATATAGCGGATTAACAGTGTTATTGCACTTGATATCAGATGCCTGTCATCCGTTCTCTCATTCGCACATTAAGACACAATTGGCTGGCGTGACGCTAATAAACGGTCGTGTTCTCTCTCGCCTCTCTTCTCTCCATTCTCGGTTTGCTATGGGCTGTTAACTAGAGGGTTGTAAGGTAGTGCTTAGACCACAAGCCACTACAAATAGACTTATCGCATTATTGTGTGTGGGAAAACAACGACCGTGTTATAGCCCACGAATCGACAAGACTCATGAGAAATACAAAACAATATGTTTTTGCAGAAGTAAATTTTGGTGACTTTAAAAAATATTGAAGTTTGGTGATCTTATAATTAAGGCGCTGAAAATATACCTTGGCTACCAGTGGATGCATAACACGTCACTTTATCCCTAAGCAATCAAAATACGTAGTTTAGATAATTATTAAATTGACGAAATAATGATACGCATTTTCTTTTGAAACTACATGTAGATAAAGTCTTAAGAAATTTTGTCTAATTTTCTTAACTTTGAAGTTTATAAAATAACGCTTTACAAACTTACGTTTTGTCTAAAAATATGTTTTTTAGAAATTCCTGAACACTTTAAACGAATAAGAATGCTAAAATCCGTGATTTGTTCCTTAAGTGTATAAAAATCAATATTGGCAAATACGGCTTTTGTTGACCTGTGCTAACAACTTGATATTTATGCTTCAAGGTTGATTATGTGCCCCTAAACTTCTTGTTAATCTGTTCCAAAAATCAACAAATTAACTCTCAAGTAAAGCTACACATTTTTAGAAAAAAATTTTTTTGCAAGATTTTTAAAAATAGAGAGATAACAGATTAAGTATTTGTATTATAGAAACAGTATTGGTATTTCTAGTCGTTCTTTATTTGCTGTACGTCCTCTTCTCGTTATCGCTTTTGCTATCACTTGACATACGCACAATCTTTTCATGCTTTTATCTGTTGCCTTTATGATTTCCTTAGTGCATATTTTTAGTGGAAAAATGAAATAAAAAGCCCTTTAGACCATGTAAACTCCAACTATGCTATCTCATGTTTTATTTCTGTATTCGTCACAAAATTAAAGTCTTATGTACTTCACATCGTCTTCTTATTTCCTTAATTGCCGTTGTCTAACGCGGATATTATTGTTAAAGTTCTTATCATTTCGTTTCCATAATCTCCCATGCCACTTACCCCTCCAACAAAGGTAGCTGTTTTATTATACATTTAATGGTTCAAGTTAAGAAATCTTCACTAAAAAACCTAAAAAGCGCTTTTTCTATGGACAACTGTGCTGTGCTCATCTTTCTGCCCAGAATTTTAAGGTTTCGTGGCTTTTAAGATCGTCTCTTAGCGACATCGGTATTTCAACTCGCTGGACTACCGGTCTACTGTTATTCTGATGACTGGCCATTTCCATCCTTTTTCACATCGATTTTTCACTAAAGCCTTTATTCTATTAGTTTCATTTTTTTGCTGCTTTAGTTCATGACATAGACAATGCTCGTGGTGCCCATTCATCCCAAATGACCAGTGATGAGAAGAACGGGCTCTTGCCTCATTTATACCACCAACGCCAGTCTCTTTTACTTTGTGCAGTCCACGCCATCAACAATGTTTTACAACGCGAGGCCGTCACTAAGGCTGACTTAAATAAGATCTGCGAAGAACTCGCACCCGAATGCTCGCCACTAACAAATCCTCACAGGAATCTCCTTGGTCTTGGAAACTTCGATGCGAACGCCTTAATTGTCGCCCTCCAGCAGACCGGCCATGATATAGTTTGGTTTGATAAACGGACCACCCTGGCCGAGCACCGTCTAGACTGGAGTAAAATTGTCGGCTGCATCCTAAACACACGTCGGAAGAACCTTGCTCTCATTGGCGGGCGCCACTGGATCGCCTTCCGTGGCATCCCAACCAAAGATCCTGCTGTGATAAGCTACTACGACTTTGACTCCAAGCTGCGTCAACCAGCGCTGGTCGCTAGGTCGCATGCTGAATTCTCGAGTTACATTGAAAAGCGTCTGAAAGAGCTTCCCGATTCGCAGCTCCTCTTTGTCGTCTCCAAGGAGGTGCTTTCTGATCGAACGTGGCGCCTGCCTTCGTCTGAGACGTAACTGGCCGCCTTCGCTTCTGTTTTCTGCACCCATTTTTGGCATTTCTTTCATTTTTAGAAGCTACCTTTCCACAAAATCGAAATAAAACCTGTAAACTGCACCTACTGTCGGCAAATAAAAAACTGAGGTCTTGATATCAAAAGCTATTTCAGGGGAGAATAAGTGCTCACAAGTAGTGTCTTAGAAAGAAGCAGGGTAATGGATTGTTCCTAGTTAATCCGCTCTTCCAAACGCATTTCAAACCACTGATTCTGCGGTTTTTTACCTAGGCGATTATTCTAGTGAGAACTTTTTTGTACTGTTCCAAGTTCTCCGTTCTGCTTTGACAACGCCTAAGGATATTTGGAAATGGTTTAGGACCAGGTTTGGTTTTTCATTAAAAGGGCATTGAGGCGAATCTTTGAAGATCCTGGAAAGGTGGGAGGAAGATGGGCTGTTACAATTGGAGGGCGGCGTTTCCAGCAAGAAAGGGGTATCTTGTGGGGAACTCGGGTCTGGGGCCACCCACACCAAGCCCCCCAGATTACGGAGAAAAATTCGAAGGGGGTTGTTTTTTTTATAAAAAAAAAATCGATAAGTTGTCGAGAAGATGGGTTTTCTTGGGAACGATGATCCAGTGAGACAATGTAATGGCAGCACTGAGGGTCGGAGCCGCTCGCACCCCTGGCCTGTGATTGGTTAACCTGACATTTGCGGCGAGCAGCAAGCGTGAGCGAACACGATTCAATCGATTTTCGTGAATGCGCTTCATGTAACGCCGCTCGCTCAAGGATCGGTGCTCAGCGAAGCTATATAAACGCACTTGCTATCCTGGTCACGTCAATGTCCGAATGCTACCAGATTAGTGTTCGTGAGTGACGATCGTACGCATGTTGAACTCGACGGCCCGTGATCAGATGTCAGCCGACCATCGGAAATGTTGTGGTGAAGGACTTGAGTTCAGGCCAGTAATAGCATGGGAATTCCTGTGAGACCAATAGGGTGGATGCGTCCAAAGATGGTTGAGGATTTGTTGTGGAATTGAGAGATGAGTGTTTGGTGATGGAGAGACGGTCGGTGTTCGACATCCTGGGATATGTCCTTGGATAAAAGCCTTCGAGACTCACGGATGACGTAGGAGAGAACATGGGACGAAGGTGTGGCTGGAAGGCGAAGTCATGGGACAGGGAATCACCAGGAAGCAGAGCAAACGCCAAAAAGGGTGAGTCAGTTAGGGGAAAATTGACGGGATGGTGATTTAACCAGGAGTAGACATTCGCTGGCAGCAATAACCATGGCATAGTGAAATGTTGAGGCTTCATGGCATATAATTTTGCATGCCGGGTACTGCTGCACTTGAAAAACCCACAACCGGATGTCGGTTGCATTTATGTTCTTCTTGCCTTGAGCCGGGTCTCGTGAAAATGGACGATCACATGCAGTCGGCAAGCGAAGCATGAACAAGGACGTTCTAGCGCACACAAAAGGAAAAGGCGTGATAGAAAAATAGGATAATCCGTACAAGGAACACACAAATACGGATAGGGATTGAATTATCACGGGAAATGTCTCCCTCCATTTGTTGACTTGCAGAGTCCGTGGACCCTTAGTTGAAGTGTAAATGAAGGAGGCAGGATGCCTATCACCGATGTTGTTGGTGCTGTTTGGTGGAGAATGTCATTGACAGTTTGGTCTGTGGATAGTGTCCAGGTAAAAATTACAGTCGGTAGATCGTAGAGGTCGGTTAGTGGCGTGGTAAAACTCCTTGAAGGCTGCAGGCTTTGTGTGGATATTGTGGTGAAGATGCGTCAATTCTCCAACGGCGGTCCTCTGCAAGGTGCATTTTGGAAAGGATTTTTTATTAAACGACTTCCAAGCAATATCCAGCCCATCCTAGCCCCCATGGTTGAATCGTCAGTATTAGAACAGTTGGCGGATACCACAGGCCTCATATTTGAGGCAACGAGATCGACTCACATCTCGGAAATTGGCCCAAGTCTCCAAAGACACTCGAGTGCTTTTTTGCCCGCGGACACGTGCCAAGCATCCGTCTCCTTGGATCGAAGCCGCAATCGATGCCTTGACAATCAATGGTTCACGAGGGAGAGGATACACTACCTCATTTAGACGAACCACTCACATCCTCGCCGAAGATCCTCTTCACGCTCGTCGTCCCGAGGTTTGCGTTGGTATCATGCAACCTTCGACCGCGCAGCCCGACAGTGCAGGCGCCCGTGTACGCACGCTGTTTCAGACTCTTTCGCACGGTTGGGAAACGAGAATGCCCGGCAGTAGTGGCGTTGACTGCTAGTGGGCACCTACCCGACAAGTCAACAGGTATGCGATTCTTGATCGACTCAGGAGCCGACATATCCGTTGTCCCTCCAACGCGCTCTGAAAGGCGGTCCCCAAATCCCTTCTCTGTTTTCTCAGCCGCCAACGGTTTCCCCATCCCCGCCTACGGACAGAGATCTCTCACGTCTAACTTTGGACTACAACGCCAGTTTCATTGGGTCTTCACTATCGCTGCGGTGACCCATCTAATCATAGGCGCAGATTTTCTCAACCACTATGGTCTCCTTCTCGACCATAAGAACAAGCGGCTAATATATCCCCTAACATCTCTTTCCGTAAAGTGTCCTACGTGAACTACGCCAGCCATTTCTCAGGTTACAACATTGCAAATTGAAAACGGACCCTACTTGGCCTTACTGCGAAAATATCCAGGCCTAATTAACCCAACTCACCGGCAAACCGAGGTCCGGCACAATGTCACGCACAAAATTTTGACAAACGGCCGCCCCGTTAATGCCCGAGTACGCCGACTCTCCCCAACCAGATGCTCAAAGGCTAAACAAGAAATCGAACACATATTGCAGCTTGGCATAGTCCGACGATAGGACAGTGATTTGTCATCAGCTCTGCATTTGATTCCTAGGAAAGCTGTTGATGAATGGTGGCCATGCGGTGATTATCGTGCCTTAAACGCAGTAACAATTCCCGATCGCTATCCAACACAAAATCCGCATGATTTTTCATCGAATCTACACCAGAAATCCGTTTTTTCTAGGTTAGATTTGGTGCTAGCCTATTATCAGATCCCCGTCGAGCTATCTGATATCCCTAAAACGGCTATTGCCACGCCATTCGGTTTGTTCGAGTTCGTGCGAATGCCTTTCAGCTTGCGAAATGCAGCTCAAACATTTCAGCGTTCCATCCACCAAGTATTATCTGGTTTAGATTTTGTCTTTTTGTGTATCGACGATGTTCTGGTTGCCAGTGAAAATCAAGAGGAGTACCCGAAACACATGGACGTTGTCTTTGGACGCCTTAATGAATATGGTTTGATTATTAATCTGTCAAAGTGTGTTTTCGGAGTTGCAGAAATCGAATTCCTAGGACACACCGTCTCCGCTACAGCTCAGATCCTTCTGCCTTTAACCAGTTTGCTCAAAGATCGCTCTAAAAGTCTAACCATGACGGACGAGGCATGTGAAGCTTTTACGGCCGCAAAGGAGGCCTTGGCGACGACAACCACACTCGTGTGCCAATGGCTAGATGCTCCTCTATCTCTACTAACTGATGCATCCCTTCCGGCAGCTGGAGCAGTCTTATAGCAAACCGTCAACGGGTCAGCTCAGCCACTGGCTTATTTTTCAGCCAAATTCAATGAAGCTGAAAAGTGTTACAGCACCTTCGGTCGTGAGTTTCTGGACGTATACCTGGCGGTCAAGCACTTCAGGTATCTTCTTTAGGGTCGGCAATTTACGATCTACACCGACCACAAGCTGCTGGAGTTCGGATCGTTTGTCACCAAGGAAATCTAGACACTTGGATTCTACTTTACAGTCTTCAACTGACATTCGTCACATCCAAGGCAAGGACTATACGGTAGCTGATGCACTATCTCGCTCGCACATTGACACTGTAAATACAGGTACATAAGTGGATTTCGAGGATATGGCAATCGCTCAGCAATCTGATAAGAATTGCAGGAGTTCCGAAGACAAAATACAGCCTTAAGGCTCGTCGAAGTCCCTCTACCTTCATTCACAAGTACAGTCGTCAGCGACATTTCAACGGGTGTGCAACGTCCTTTCGTACCTAAGCCGATTCGACGCCGTGTTCCAAGCCCTCCACGGTCTTGCTCATCATGGTCAGCGTGCAACACGGAAACTGATCTCAAGCCGTTATGTTCGGCCTGCCGTGAATCGCGATATTTCGCAGTGGACTAGGAATTGTATAAGCTGTCAAATATCAAAGGTGGAAAAACACAGCAAGACCCCCGTCGGATACTTTAACGTTCCAGATGCTCGTTTTGATCATGTACACCTTGACATCGTTGGACCCTTATCGCACTCAAGGGGCTTCTGTTACATTTTGTCATGCGTTGACCGGTTTACCCGCTGGCAAGATGCTTTTCCAATTCAAGACATCTCCACCGAAACCGTAGCTAGAACATTCGTTGACAGATGGGTTGCTTTATTTGGAGTCCCCTCCACCATCACCACAGATAGAGGAACTCAGTTTCAATCAAGCCTGTTCCAAAATCTCACACGACTTCAGGGGAAGAACCGTATTAGAACGACCGCCTACCACCTTCAGTCAAATGGCATGGTAGGACGTTTTCACCGGCAACCGAAAGCTGCTTTAATCGCTCACAGTGACCCATCTCGTTGGTCGGATGTGTTACCCTTTGTGCGTCGAGGGCTTGGGTTGTTCCTCTGCAGAAATGGTTTTCGGGACAACATCGAGAATACCTGGGCAGTTTTTCACAGCAACATCCTCACCGTTATGGCTGGACACAAGCAGCTACGTTGATGATCTGAGGAAGGCAATGAGCAACCTCGCTCATCCTTCACTTCATGCTACATCCCATGAACACTGTCTTCTTGCACTCATGTTTTCATCAGACACGATCCTATTCGTCGTCCACTTCAACCCGCATACGATGGACCTTTCAAAATACTCAGACGAGAAGAAAAGGTTTTCATCGGAGAACGAAATGGAAAAGAAGACGCCGTATCTATTGACCGCATCAAATCAGCATTTCTCGACGCGGAGACGCCGCCAAGCAACAAAGCTGTGATGTAGCCAACTCCCACCCCTTCTGGCCTGATCGTTACACTGCCTGACTCCCACCGTGTTCTCATATTCTGACCACCGTCTGTCTCAAACAAGATCCATCTCGATTTTTCGAATCTCGCCTGGTTTACCGCATTTTGGTTTAAATTTCGCGTAACTGGCTTCGGTTCTCGACTCCCTAGTGCTGGCTCCCAGGTTCCAAACTCTTCTAGGGCACCGCGAGTCGACTGCACAATACTTACGACCCACCCTTCAGAATTTCTGTTGGAAGAAAATATTCGCGAATTCCTTTTTACCAAAGGAGAGAGCCAGCACAGTTAGCATTCGTGAGCGAACGCAAGTCAATCGATTTTACCGTGAATGTACTGCAGTGGACAGACAGCCACAGCGTTTGAGTGCTGCGTGACGCTTGTCCGACTGTATCAATGACTCACCCTCTTTGTTATTGTTTTTTGTTACCAGTCTCCTGTAACGCGCGCGTATCGATACGCACACGCAGAAGTTAGTAACTCGATTTTACTCGAATGGACTTGACTGGCGTGACGCGAATAAACGGTCGTGTTCTCTTTCGACTCCGTCTTCTCTCTTCTTGGGTTGTGACCGGCGGTTATCTATGGGGTTTTGTGGTAGTTCGTAAATGCATACCTCGAGGTTGTCATGCTATAGATAGTACAATACTAACAACCCACCCTTCAGAATTCCTGTTGGAAGAAAATATTCGCTAATTCCTCTTTACCAAGGGGGAGAGCTGTGGCGAGCAGCAAGCGAGCACAGTTAGCAGTCGTGAGCGAACACGATTCAATCGATTTTCGTGAATGCTCTCCACGCGACTACGTGCGTTCAGAAATCGATACTTAGCGAAGCCATATAAACACACTTGTTAATAAACGGTTGTGTTCCCTGTTGACTCTTTGTCTTCTCGCTTTTCGGGTTGACTAAGTGTTAACTAGAGGATTGTATGGTGGTGTCAAACTCGGCCGCCACACATTCCTACATAAAAGTCAGTTCCTGAGTACATCACAGTTGGCCTGGCTCCACGTAAATCATCATGTTGGACGAATTACGTGTCATTTTTTTCGAGAATCATGTAGTTATCGCTCCTGCGCCACTGCGCTATCGACCAAGCACCTCATTGTCAGTTGTGGCACCGCTAACTTCGTGAGTTCAGCGGAAAATGGATTTGCATCCTCCAGACACGCTCTTCTGACTTCCTAAA